TCATTCTCTTCCTGAGAGTAACCCGAGCGTCGTTCCCATTTTCTTAGGGGGACCCCGGCGTCATTCCCCGCTTCTGGAGGGTAACACCTGACGTCACCCTTTTTTCCTGAGAGTGATCCCTGAGGCGTCCACCTTTCCCAAGGATGACCCCAGCGTCCTCTCTTCCTCCTGAAGTGAACCGTAGCATCGTTTCTTCCTGAGTAAGGTCAGATTCATCCCCACTTCCTTAGGCCACCTCCGCGTCCACAGCCCTTGCTGAGTGGACCTTGCCCTGGTCTCTCTCAGTCCCCTTCCTGATGGGACCCCACATCCTTCCTGAGGGAGACTCTAGGGTCACCCACTCTTCCTGAGGGGTCCCCTCCGTGTCTTTATCTTCCTAAGGGGACCCCACGTCATACCCCCTTCCTCAAGGGTCCCCAGAATTGTTCCTCCTTCCTGGGAAGCAGCCTGACACTGCCCCCCTTTTCTGATAGTTTCCTGTCATTGCCATCCCTACACCTTGAAAGGATCCATCATCCCCCTTTTTTCTGAGAGTATATCCCTTTTCTCCCTTCCAATTTGAGGTGCACCCCTGCAAGGACTTCGGTGGTTCCCATGCATATGAGAAGTTCCAAAGCCCTTTCCTGTGCTCCCCTTCCCTAGCTGAGGAGATGGGAAGGCAAGACTCAGATCACCCTCAAAGTTCTGGCGGGCTAGGGACTGGGATGGGGAGTGAAACTAGCTGATAAAGGAACTCACTATGTTACATGAGAAATCATTTAAGGAACTGGGGCTGTTTCTTCTAAAATGAAAGCTGTCGGAAGGATCTAAAGCTACCTTAAAATATTTACCAAGTGCTTCTCACAGTTTTTGACATCAGTACTTATCTAGTGATTGGAAATGCACTGTGACCTGGAACAGGGATTACTTCATTTCATGATATTTCAAGAGATCTGATGGTAACAGTTAGAGGGAGGTCGAAAGGGCTTTCTTGTGTTGAACTGAAACCCTAATGGCCGATTGCTTTACTCTTGGCCCAGAGCTGGAGAAATCCACACCCTTGGAGAAGCATCTGGAAGATTTGGCCAATTCCATTCAGTCCTGAAAATGTTTCTTGTACATCCACTGTGACCAAGAATTTATCTACTTAACATTCAGATTTATGTGAAGCTTATAGTGTGCCAGTAAATAAAATGGTGAACCAGACAAAAATAGAAGAACAATTATGAATACCAGGCAGACAAATTCATCATGACTTCTGCAAGCTACTTTTTTCTAGAGTATTTCTCAGGCTTTCTTGTATGTTAATAAACAATCATGCAAATATCTGTTTCTCTCCCTAATTGGCTGTAGGCTACAGGAGGGCAGAAGCCATGTCTTCTGCTCCCAACTGTCTCTACATTGTGCCTGGAACATGGTAGGCTATGAAATATTTGTTGTTCCTGCTCTAACTCTTCACTTCTAATCCCTAGAGGAACTGGGAGATGGCCAGGGAGGGTGAAATATGATAAATAAAAGGAAAATACAGCTCAGAGATGAAAGGGACCCCACATGCAAGAACTGAGACTTAAGAAAGAAGCACCACCCTGGCCGGTTTGGCTCTGCGGTAGGGCATCAGCCTGTGGACCAAAGAGTCACGAGTTCGATTCCAGCCAAGGGCATGTACCTCGGTTGTGATTCATCCCCGGCCCTGGTTGGAGTTGTGCGGGAGGCAACCAGTCAATCTGTCCCTCTCACATCGATACCCCCCCACACACACACACTCTATCTGAAGATATTTGAGAAAATACCCTCGGATGAGGATTTAAAAAAAAAAGAAAAGAAAGAAGCACTAATTCCTTGTCTAATGCAATTAATCTTTCCTGACGCTGAAGCTGAAAGCAAGTGAAGGCAAAGAGTCAGCTGAAGTCAGCATCAGGCTGCTGTGTTTCCAATTTCCCACCAAAGTTGTGTAGATTAGCTGATTAAATTTTGAAGAATCCTGGGATACATAGTCTGAAAAGTGTTCCTGGGTGCCATGCTTAAATTGTGGCATAATAAAATCAAAGTTACAACCCTAAGGTGTGGATGTGGTGCTGGGGCTCACACGAGGAGGAAGTCCTTTAAATAGGGAGCTTCTGGGGGAGCATTTGCAGTTGTAATTGATTTATTAAAAATATGGTTTGCCCAGAGGTTTTGAAGAATGCTAATTTTAAAAGTAAGAACAAGTCAAACTCAAGGGCATTCTACACCCTGGGACCCATCCCATCTTGTTTCTTTTCTAACTTTCATTCTCTGGAAATAGTTCCTCTTTTCAAAGGGAGGCCCACAAGAGGGTGCTGCACTCCTTTTAGACCTAACTTCCTGTATTAGCCCAGAGGGTCACAGGGAACTACAAAATCATCATACAATAAGACAGATTGGTTGTTGGAAGTACTGATTTCTCCACCAGTGATGAGAGCCAATGAGTAATTGAATGTAACACAGCTGAAGTGCTCTGAGGACATTAAATGTTATCATTATTATTCTAACTTTAATAACCTTGATAAATCAGATTAATATTAACATCTCGGGTTTCCAGTACTTACTTTATTCCTACTCAATAACACTACATTTATTGTATTCTTACTGTATTTGCCAGGTGCTAGGTACTGTTATTGTCACCATGTTATAGATGAGGAAAGTGAGGTACAGAGATTTGCACTAAGTGCTAGATACGGATCTCAACCCTAGTCTGTTGACTCTAGTGTGTTATTTTATATATTTTTTATTTCCTTAAATTCTATCTTCTGTGATATATATTTCCACTAACATTTATATTTTAAAGCCAAAACACACTCCCAAAGGAGAAGATATTCATTGACTCAAAAGCACAATACATTGTACAAACAAGGAACTCTATACATCCAGAACTACAGTGCATTTCACAGAGCTGAAAGTTACTTTAGACAACCTCCAATTGAGAGTGGGGAGTTACTCGCTCACCATCACCATGAGTCCATCCTGTCTTACCTTCACCTTTGTCATCTCTTTGTATACTGGTACTGCCCCTTAGCTTATAAATATGGTGTCTTCTGAATCTTAACAGCAGAACTCCAACCCCCACGAACCTTTGTTCCTCTCCCACGAACCTTTGTTCCTCTCTAGCTATCATCCGATCTTTCTCTGCCTAGCACAAACATCTCAAAAGAGTTGCTCCCTTCCTCAGCTTTCTTCACTGACTCAGTATTTTCTCCTTGGCAATAGTACCTTTTTAAAGGAGGCATTCAAGCCCTGGCTGGTTTGGTTCAGCGGTTAGAGCATTGGCCTGCGGTCCAGAGAGACCCAGGTTCGGTTCCCACTAAGGGCACGTATCTTGGTTGCAGTTTGTCCCCGGTCCTGGTTGGGCCATGCGGGTGGCAACCACTCAATATGTCCCTTTCACGTCAATGTCTCTCTCTCTCTCTCTCTCTCTCTCTCTCTCTCTCTCCCCCTCCCTCCCACTATATCTGAACAAAAAATGGAAAAATGTCCTCAAATGAGGAAAAAAATAAAGGAGGCATTCAAGCCCTGGCCGGTTTGGCTCAGCAGTTAGAGCGTCGGCCTGCGGTCCAGAGAGACCTGGGTTCGGTTCCCACTAAGGGCATGTACCTCGGTTGCAGTTTGTCCCCGGCCCCAGTTGGGGTCATGTGGGTGGCAACCAGTCAGTGTGTCTCTCACGCGTCAATGTTTCTCTCTCTCTCCCCTTCTCTCCCTCCTGCTCTATCTGAAGATAAATGAAAAAATTTCTCTGGTGAAGGAAAAAAAAAAAAAAAATACAGTTTCTTATGTTGTGGTGGCCCCAACCATAAAATTAGTTTTGTTGCTACTTCATAACTGTAATTTTGCTACTGTTATATCTTAGGCGCCCCCCTCCCCGGGAAAGGGTCATTCGACCTTCAAAGGGGTCGCGACCCACAAGTTGAGAACCGCTGCCTTAAATGTTTCTCAGAATATGCCTTTAACCCACTTGTTCTACACTTGTATGCTTCAAAGTGTGTTCCCTGAACATGTGGCATCAGCATCAACTGAGAACTTGTTAGAAATTCAGTTATTTGCCCTGCCGGTTTGGCTCAGCGGTTAGAGCGTCGGCCTGCAGTCCTGAGAGACCCGGGTTCAGTTCCCGCTAGGGGCACGTACCTTGGTTGCAGTTTGTCCCCGGCCCTGGTCAGTCGTGCGGGTGGCAGCCACTCGATGTGTTCCTTTCACATCAATGTTTCTCTCTCTCTCTCTCTGTTCCTCTCTCTCCCTCCCTCCCACTCTATCTGAGCAAAGAATGGAAAAGTGTCCTCGGGTGAGGATAAAAAAATAAAATAAAAATAGAAATTTAGTTATTTGGCACTCACTTACTGAATAATAGACCTCTGAAAAATTAACACCCATTTATGATTTTTAAAAAACTAGGTATAGAAGGGAGCTTCCTGAACTTGATAAAGTCTTCAGCAAAATTTAAGGCATAGTCCTGGCTGGTTTGGCTCAGCGGTTAGAGCATCATCCTATGGATCAAAGAGTTGCAGGTTCAATTCCAGTCAAGGGCAAGTACCTCAGTTGGGGTTTGGTCCTTGGCCCTGGTCCGGGTTGTGTGGGAGGCAACCAGTCGATGTGTCTCTTTCACATCGATGTTTGCCTCTCTCTATCTCTCCCTCCCACTCTATCTGAAAATAAATGGAAAAATATCTTCAGGTGAGGATTTAAAAAAAAACAACTTAAGGCATAGATTACAGAAAATCTTTTGGCAAACATCAGATTTAATGGTGTTTAATGGTGGGACATTAGAAGTATTTGCCTTATAGTTAGGAATAAGACAACTATGCCCACTATTTCCACTACTGATCAACATTGTACAGAAGGTCTTAGCTAGTATTAAGACAAGAAAAAGCCCTGGCCGGTTTGGCTCAGCGGTAGAGTGTCAGTCCTTGACCAGAATCGAACCTGTGACCCTCATCACCCCAATCAAGGCCGGGGATAAACCGCAACCAAGGTACATGCCCTTGACCAGAATTGAACCCATTGGTCTGCGGGCCAACGCTCTAACCGCTGAGCCAAATGGGCCAGGGCCCCTTTGTCCTTTTAATTACCAGGCACGTCAATAAAGGAAAAGGCTCAGTGTGTTACTGAAATGCACTAAAATACCAGATAGACTTTCACCAAATTTGGAAAACATTTTGGGGATGGTTTGCCTTAAAATATAAACTGTGCACACATGAACTTAACCTCTCAGAGCCCTGGAGATGTGTCAGGAGTTAGGTCATTATCTTCAAAGCAGCCCAAAGTGATAGACAAAGTGAGCCCTGTGTGTCTTGCTTATGGGGAGAAAGATGCCCTACATATCAAGAGGCATGGGCAGAGATAACAAACTGGTTTCAAATCTAAGACCTAAATCAAAGACTTCATTGCATTTCAGGAGAAGAGTCTTGTCTGTCCCAGGTTCAAGATCTCAAGCGGAGAGTCCAGGTAGAAGACACTAGTTAGTTTGTTCTTTATTTTCATTGGAAAGTTACAGGGTTACTTATCAACAAAATTACTGTCTAGGGCAAAGACATCCAGTGGTTTCTATGTACAAGCCCATCCTGGGGTCCACAACTCCTGAAGGGCCTCACCCCCAAGGTCTCAATTGGCTCTTTCCCAGGCCTCTAGGAATCAATCACAAAGACACAGGGAACAAAAAAAAAAGCCTGACCTCAATACCTGTTTTCACCCCAAAGGGAGGTGGCAGCTGCTGGTATGGGACACAGGCCTAATCTTGGGGTAGTAGTTGTGGGGTTTTCTCTCCCAGGAACCCGCCCTTCTCGAACCACCCTCAATCCCCAGGCACTCTCTTGGACATTCCTGGGACTACTCTAATGGGCTCATGGATTCCCACTCTGGTCTTTTTTCCTTCAAGTAGTCATTCTAACACTGAGGCATCCCAGCCTCACATCTTGGTAGACAAGCATTTGCTCTGTCACTTTTCTTTTGTCCCTATTTTGGTACAAAAATGGCAATACTCTTTCTTTTTTTTATAATTTTTTTTTTTTTGGTACGTGCCCCTAGCAGGAACCGAACCCAGGACTCTCTAGTCTTCAGGCCGACACTCCAACTGCTGAGCCAAACCAGCCAGGGCTGGCAATACTCTTGATGGAACCATTTTTTGCCCAAGAAAACCAAAGTGGCTCAACAGGTACAGTTCTGCTGGTCGATCTGCTTCCGGCAGGGCTCCATGGTGACAGCAACGCCCACCCCGCTCCGGCCAGATGTCATGCAGGTCACCTCATTCCAGGTGTCCGTGTCTGGGTCATAACACTCCACACTATCCAGGAATGTGTGACCGTCGTAGCCTCCTGCAAGGACAGCAGAGAGGATGGTCACTACCTCCAAGGGCAGGGGGAAGAAAGAAGAGGAAGAAATCACAAAAAGCCTTCCTTCTGTGATTTGAGCCTGCCCCCCAAAGATGAGGCTAATTAGTCTTTTCCACCCAGATCCCCACCCCTAGGACCTCACCAAGAACATAGATTCTCCCCTGGTGCACAGTAATCCCCAGAGCACTTCGAGGATGCTTCATGGGAGCTACGAAAGTCCACATTTCTGTCTCCACGTTGTAGCGCTCCACACTGTTCAGCTGGTCCTGACCATCGTAGCCTCCAGCAGCATAGATACAGTTGTGCAGTACACAGACTCCTAAACCAGTCCATGAAGAGAGGGTGACTCCAGGCCCTGGCCTGGGGGGCCCCAGCCACCACCTTCTTGGGGGACCCTACCCTCCTCCCTCTCCTGAAGGACCGTTCAGAAACAAAGCCAGGAAAGAGGAGTTTGAATTCTGTCAGAATCTAGCTCTCCTGTTTGTGCCAAAGGGTTATTCAAGGTGGAAACAAGAGGCCCCACCCAAGCCTGGCCAAGTTTCACTTCCAGGGCTGGGAGGGTGTTCCTCCACAGTCCCCTTCTCTCAGCCCCCACCCACCTGCCCCACTTCGAATGGTGTTCATGGGTGTGATCATTCGCCACTCATCTCTCTCTGGATAGTAACACTCAGCTGAGTTGAGGCGGTTCGTTCCGTCAAAGCCCCCAACGGCATAGAGCAGCCGGTTGAGAACAGCCACTCCCACCCCGATCCTTCGAGTCAGCATTGGGGCCACCAAGTGCCACTCATCACGCTCTGGCTCATACCTGCAAGGGCATAATAACAATAACAGCAGCAATCATGGCTGACCTTCAAGGAACACTTACCGAGGCCCAATATTCTGCTAGCTCTTTAAGGACTAGTTCTTTAATTCTCACAATTGTTCTCCAAGGCATAAGTTATTAGTAGCTCCATTTTCCAGATAAAGAAACTGAGGTTCACAACTGTCGTGTGCTCAAGGTCACACACACACATTTGTTGGATACTGGTGGCTTCATCATACCACTTCCATGCCCTGTGCTGAGTCTTATGTGTACTATATCACTGATGCCCCAGCCTGGGGGTGAGGGGCAGGCAAGGGGTTCTCATTATTGTCCACCACTCTTCAAAGATGATAAGATGGAGGCACAGATCAGGGTAAGTGGTACATCAGGGACACCAAACAAGCAGTGGAACTGGGGGTCTGACCCAGCCCTCTCAGACACCAGAAACCCAATTCTAACAACTAGGCTACCTCTCAGGATGGTTTTTCTCTCCGGACCGCAGGCTGACGCTCTAACCGCTGAGCCAAACCGGCCAGGGCAGGATGGTTTTTCTCAAAGCATGAGCTCAGAGATGGACCTGGGCAACTCTAGTTCATGCCTGTATTCCTGGAGTAATTAATAGTGTCCCCCTTTTTTTGTTCTCAAAAGTGGTCTGTTAGCCCTGGCCGGTTTGGCTCAGCGGTTAGAGCGTCAGCCTGCGGTCCGGAGAGACCCGGGTTCGGTTCCCGCTAAGGGCATGTACCTCGGTTGCAGTTTGTCCCCGGCCCTGGTTGGTCGTGCGGGTGGCAGCCACTCGATGTGTCCCTTCACGATGTTTCTCTCTCTCTCTCTTCCTCTCTCTCCCTCCTGCTCTATCTGAACAAAAAATGGAAAAAATGTCCTCGGGTGAGGATAAAAAAAATAAAATAAAATAAATTTAAAAAAAAAAAAAGTGGTCTGTTAAAGGTGATGCATCATCCCATCATCCTAGTCACGGACCATATGCATTAGAAACCTCTGGAGTATTGGTTTAAAATTTCCATTCCCCGGTTTGGCTCAGCGGCTGGAGTGTCAGCCTGCGGACCAGAGTCCCAGGTTCGGTTCCCACTAGGGGCATGTACCAAAAAAAAAAAAAAAAAAAATTTTCCATTCCCCATCTTTGCTCCAAACCCACCCACCAATGCCAGATCTCTGCATCTCCAGCATCAGGCTGAGGAGTTTGTTTTTCAGGTTTTTTTTTTTTTTTACTCCTCACCCGAGGACATTTTTCCATTTATCTTCAAATAGAGTGAGAGTGAGGGAAGGAGAGATAGAGGGAGAGAGAAACATCGATGTGAGAGAGACATATCGACCAGTTGCCTCCTGCATGACCCCTACCAGGGCCGGGGACCGAATCGCAATCGAGGTACGTGCCCTTGACCAGAATTGGACCTATGACTCTGGGGTCCGCAGGCTGATGCTCTAACCGCTGAGCCAAACTGGCCAGGGTGAGGAGTTTAACAAGTTCTCCAGGTGAAAACTATATCCTGGATCACACTTCTGAAAGAAAAGAAGGTGGAGGACTAAACTATGCAAAAGTCAAAAACCCAAAATGTTTGGCCCCTAAACATAGGGTCACTATGCACAGTTGTACAGGCTGTGCACTGCACAAGGGCACCACATCTAAGGGGCACTTCCCACCTACCAGACCTCATACATCTGTTTATTACAACAATTTCTGGGCAGACGACAATAAGGGGTTATGTTTAAACAAAACTAGCATACTACAACAATTTCAAACTGATGGAACTTTTTAAAAATCTGCGCAAAGGGACTATATGGTTTTGTGATGGCCCTGTAAACAGTTCCCAGGCCCAGACACATCATCCAAGGTCACCACCATAAATCTCCCACGAGTTTAGCTTTAATCTGAGGTTTCTGCTCTCTGAAAGCAGGGTGCAGATAGGTACTCAACAATAGGAGAAATCCCCAATGCCAATGGCTTGGGTCTTATTAGCTGTGGGGGCCCTCTCAGCCCACCCCTTCCGGCCCTGCCACTCACCTCTCCACACTGTTGTGGTGGATGCAGCCATGGGAGCCACCAACAGCATAGATGTGCCCATCGATGACCCCAACCCCAATTCGGTTGCGTGGCACACTCATGGGGGCACAGGGCGACCACTGGTTGGTCATGGGGTTGTAGCAGTCCAGGGCATTGGAGTCGGTGTTGCCATCAGGTGAGTTGTTCCGGCCACCCACGGCATAAAGCAGCCCACCCACCACGCAGCCTGCCAGGCCACTACGAGGCACCTGCAGGTCTGCCAACCGAAGCCATGTGCCATCACTGGGGTTGTAAGCCTCCAGGTAGCTGAGTGACTGGCGGAAATAGCCACCAGCAGTGTAGATGAGCCGGCCCACCTTGGGCGCCCGGCAGGGCATCACCTGTGTGGGCTTGTGTAGGGTGAGCTCCTGGAAGATCTTGACCAGGTAGTCCTTGCAGCGTGAGTCTGACTGCAAGATCTCGCACTTCTGCAGCTGCATCTGCAGGAAGTGGGGTGTCAGCGAGTGACAGCGCACGGCCCGCAGCAGCGCCTGTACATAGAAGCGTCGGTGCTCGCAGTCATACTTGACCCAGTTGATACAGGCATGGAAGACCTCAGACTCACAGCGCACATTCAGATCATCTCGGCTAATGAGGGTTACCAGCTGGCAGTGGGACAGGTTGAAGAACTCCTCTTGCTTGGCCACCTGCAGAGGGTGTTAGTGTGACAGGCTGACTCCTGTGTCTCCCCCAATGCCTCAACTGGAGTATGACCATGGACAAGTCACTCAACCTGCCTCTGACAATCTCAGTTTCCTCATCTGTACAATGGGAATTTGAAGAGTATGAACTCATTGGTTGTGAGAATTAAATGAGTTAATATCATGTGCCAGGCATGTAGTACATAAGTACTCAAGTACTGGGCAAAGAAAGACACAATGCATTGTGTATCTTTTTGTATAATTTTTTGTTTAAACTAAAAGAGCATTACCTTTTTTATGTTTTATTTATTGATTTTAAAAAGAGGAAGGAAGAAAGGGAGAGAGGGAGGGCGGGAGAGAGAGAGAGAAACACTGATTTATTGCTCCACTTGTTCATGCATTCATTGGTTGGTTCTTATATGTGCCCTGACGGGGGATCAAACCTGCAACATTGGTGTATGGGGATGACACTCTAACCAATTGAGCTACCAGGCCAGGGCTACCTTTTTGTTTTGTTTTGTTTTTTTAATCCTTACCCAAGGATATTTTTCCATTGATTTTCAGACAGAGTAGGAGGGAAGGAGGGAGGGAGGGAAGTGGAGAGAAGGAGAGAGGGAGGGAGAGAGAAGGGGGTGGAGAGAAACATCGATGTGAGAGAGATACATCGATTGGTTGCCTCCCACATGAGCCCAACCAGGGCCAGGGATCAAACCACAACTGAGGCATGTGCCCTTGACCAGAATCAAACCCATAACTCTTAGGTCCGCAGGCCGAAGTTCTAACTGCTGAGCCAAACCGGCCAGGGCTTGTTTTTTTTTGGTTTGTTTTTTAATGATACTACCTTTTCAAAAGGGCAGATTAGCTAAAAAGGAAAAAAGAATAGCAACAGAATATTCTAGAGGAAAAAATAGTGTAGGCTCTGAAGAAAGCAGCCTGAGTTGTAATTTTGGCTCACTACTTTCTAACTGGGTGACTTTGGGCAAATATCTGAAATGTTCCATGCATTCTTTTTCCTCTGTAAAGAGGGTTATATTAGTAGCTCATAATGTAGTAGCTCCTAGGACATACATGGTACCTAGCAATCTTTCCTGTCAGGCACTGGTCTATATAAATAGATCCACATCAGCAGATACCACTGCTTAGTGCCCCAAGCCCATGCAATCCCTTCAAACAAACACCATGCAGGCCAGTGGAAGAGTCTGCTTGCAGACCAACTTTCTGAAAGCCATCAGTCCGAGAACTAATGCCAGAGTTCCTCAAAACAACTAGTTAACCACACATGTGGTGTAGAGGGAAGAAGAGAAATGGCAACAAGTGTAGTGTCTACCCCAGCTGGTCCTAGCCACTGAAAGAGGATTTTAAATACTTCCAGGAAGGCCCTCTAAAGCATACTTTCTCCTGGGATGGTTAGGAAGATTCAGTGATTTAAAGGATGGAAATCACTTAGAACAGAGTCTGGCCCACAGCAAAGGCTCAACAAGTACTTATTATTTCTTCTGTTCACAACTTCCTCCACTTAAAAACAAAAACGAAACCAAGAACATGGGATGACACTGCGTGGAACGTGGACCAAAGAAAACACATCTAAGGGTCACATTTGCAGTTGGCAGCATGTCATGGGTGTTCAATAAATACTTGCTGACTACCTGAAATGTTGGGTGCTTCTCTGCACACACCAGATTTGAGCTGCTGTCGTGTTTGCTCTACCTTGTCCCCACCCTGGACCCAAGAAACCAGGGAACCCAGATATCTATGAAGGTCTCACTTGCCTTAACTGTTTCCCAGAGTTGCCCTAGATGTGTAGACTAGAAGCTCAGAGCTCAACTCTTCTCCAGCTCCTTGCCTTCACCCTTCATATCTCAAGGGAGACAATGATGACCACCCATGGTCCCTGGTCCCTCTAATACTGCCCCCAAGCCTTGCTCCATGTCCTCTCATCTCACTCACCTCCCCAAAGTGCATGTAGATGTACTCGCGGGCACGCTGGTGCAGCTCAGCACAGCCAATCTGCTCAGCGAAGTTGGCGATGCCAATGGCATTGCTGGGATCCAGCTGCTGTACCAGGAAATCACTGCAAGCACGGACGACGCTGTCGATCTGGTACATGACGGCACCGTTCATGACATGGAGCACACACTTCTCACCCATGGAGATGGAGGCTGTATAGGCGAACTCGATGAGACGCTCCATGACCTTGGGGTGGATGCCCTCAATGGACACCACCTCCATGCCCTGCTCCCGCAGCCCGTTGGTGAACATGGCCTTGAAGACAGGGCTGGATGAGGCCAGAACCACCTTGTGTGCCATGAACTGCGCAGCCGGTGCGTCCTGGTACTTGACCTGAAGTGTGACATCACACAGCTGCTGGCTGAGCCGCAGCTCATTCATGATTCCGAAGGCCTGCTTGGTGTGGTCCTCCAGCGTGTAGCTGAAGGTGCGGTTGCCATGCTGGGAAGGTGTCACCTCAGCCTTGCACTCGGTGGAGGCGTACATCACTGTGTCCCCTGAACCCTCAGGGCGCTGTGACCTCAAGGGTAGAAATCGGGTGTGGGCCCCAGCCCCACTAGGCCTGGGTTCCGGCTGCATGGGGTTCCAGGTGACAAGGGACAACACCACCACTGACACTCAGGGGCCTGGAGGAGGGAGAGCACAGGGCTGGGGGCAGGGCCTAGGGTCAGGCCTCCTTTTTAAAAATAAAGTGACTCCTAGACCAGTTTTCCTTGACAAACCCAGGTGAAGTAGTATCCACTTGTGCTTCCTATAAATGGCCCATAGCCTCACCAGCCTAAGGGTCCATCTTAAAATATGTCATATGTTGTTCCTCCCGTATTCAGAACCGCCCCCCCCCCCCATAACTCCCTATTGCATGAAGAGTAATACCAAACTTGTGAATGACCTACAAAGGCCTCCATAGTCAGCCCCTGTCCACCTCTTCCCTTTGGTCACTCTATTCCAGTGGGTTGGTGGCCCTTCCCTTCCTAGAGCATGTCCAGCACACTCTTTCATTCACCTCACCAACGTTTATTGAACAGCTACTGTGTGCAAGGCACTGTTCTAGGCACCAGGCACACTGCAGTGACCCAGACAGACATAAACTATGCTGGAGTTGACAACTGGGGAAGGAATGGCCATAAATAAAACAAACAAGACTTGAGTAGAAATTGGAGTCATGAAGAAAATTACAACAGCGTTTGACAGTGTGACTTGGGCCAGTTACTTAAATTGGGTAGTCCAGGTGTCAGCTGGAGCTGAGACAAGAAGGATGAACATATGAAAGGGGTCGAACATACGAAAGGGTGGGGGTGGGAGTTAGTTTTCCGGGCAGAGCGAACAGCAAGTGTAAAGGCTCAAAGGCAGAATGAGAGAGACAATCTGGAGAATCAGGTAGAAGTGTAATGACATAATGACTATAGAAAGGAGGGTTTCCATGAAACCTGTGGAGTCTGGAAAGCCGGGGCATGAGTTAGTTATGTTTTGCAAGGTCCTGCTGGGATAACGGGAGTTGAAGCAGGTCTGCAAGAGGCCCCTCAGGTTCTCCATCTTATCTTTCTAGGGCTCAGCTCAGAGTCACCTCCTGGTTTTATTTCCATTACCACACTTGTCAGGAACTGAAATGAGCTTCTTTGCTTGCTTATTGACGAGTGACCGGTCCCTCTAACCCTCAGGCCCAGCGCTTCAGAGGGCAGGGAGCCCTATGCAGGTCAGGGTTGTACCCACTCTCTCTTGTGCCTCCCCCACGTTCCAGGGCACTGCACAGGGGTCAGCAAGCGTGTGGCTGGCTGACTGCACACTCCATTGTGCCTACGAGCGCACCCTCCACCACCGGGCCCAGGGCACCGTTGGCCACCTCTCCCGGCCAAGGCCCCCGGCCTTTCTCTTGGTCTTTGGCCAACCGGTCAACTGTGCCCCCTGGGCTCTGGACAATCACAAACTGCTAGGTGGGGGACTGCGCATGCCCCGCCTGAGCCGCCACCAAGACCTGGAGAAAGGAGGAAGTGACCCCACGGCGGCCTCTCGACTGCCAACCCCAGAGCGCAGATCTACCCCCCAACGACCCGGAGTCCCCGGGCCTTCGTCTGAGCCGCGCTCCCTGGGCCTCTCGTCTGCCTTGCGTCTCTCCCGGGCAACCCCACCAGTCGCGCCGTCCAACAAAAGGATAGGACGCGAGCCGCGCCCTCCTGGCCCTCCGCGGGGCCGCGTGGACCCCGAGGCGACCCGGCCAGCGGAGCCGCGTCTCCCGGCCCCCCAGCACTGTCGCAGGAGCGCTACCGGCCCGCCGTGCCCGCAGCCCGGGCGCAGGCCCTCACTCACCCCGCCATGGCCGCGCTCGGGCTCCGCCTCCGTCGCTTTAGGCCCGGGCGCCTCCATCGCTGCGCGCGGGGGGAGGCGCGGAGCGCGCGCGGTCACCATGACTAAGCAGAGCCCGGTGACGGCCGTGTCAGAATAAAAGTCCCCGCGGCCCCGGGCCTCCCGCGGCTGAGTTGGCACAAGGGCCGCTTCCCCCTCCCCCGCCCCGCCGCTGTCCGCTAAGCTGCACAAGCCCAGCGTGGCTATCCCAATGTCCGTCTTCGCGGCCTGGGGCGGGTCGGAAACCGCAGCCCTCTGTGCACCGCGCCGCATGAATTATAGTCCCCGGTTCGAGGCCCGGCGCACCCCTGCCAGCACCTGACATCCATGGACTCCCTTCCTGCCGCCGCTGCCGGCGCGCTCACCTCCGCCTCCGTATAGCCTCGCTAGCTCTCGCTGCGTGACAGGGATGCCCGGGGACAGGGCGGCGGCTCTGAGCACGGTGGAGACACCCAAGCGCGGAGGGGCCGCGGCCGGGCCGGGGGCGGCTGCCGCCTAATCTTCGCCGTCGGGGACTCGCAGGCTCTTTGCTGTCGCGGGACCTCGGCTCCGGTTCGGCGAGGCCTGCGGGGTCGCGGCCGTCGGGTTGGGGGCGGCTGGGGACGCCCGGGAAGGAGGCGGGGAGAGGGCGCGGCGGGGAAGGAGCCGAGATTCCCCGCCCTTCCCGCAGGTGCCCGGAGCCCTTGGACGAGGAGCAGGGCGTCGGGCGATGGCGCGTGGCCAGGAGTGCCTGGCCCCGTTACCCCTTCATACTTTCCCGCCCAATGCCGGAATTCGTCGTCTCAGCGCGGAGCCGCTTTCCACCACCCGCTCTTCTTTTAACGTAGGCCTCACGGTCCAGCGGTCCAGCAGCCGAAGGATCCAGCTAGAAATATCTACCTTGCTGGAGTTTTCTTGTCTTTATATTTTAGTTACCGCCGATCTTGAGGCGCGTGGAACTCGGCTGCGGGGATTCACACCCCTGCTCTACCAACCCTTTGGCTCTGTGCCGGTGGGCCTGTAACTTAACCTTCAATTTCCTCCCTGTGAAATGATAATGCTAGCAGCTACCTGCTAGGTTACCAGCAGAACTGAATGCGAATGCTAGCGCCCAACAGATGTTAACTATCACTATTTTTTCATAGCAAGGGACACCGATTTGCCCTTTATGCTGTTTATGATATAAAGTTAACTTTTAAGTAAATGGATTTAAGTTAAAAAAAAAAAACAACTAAGTGAATAATATGAACGCTAGGCTGAACGTATGTTGATTTAAGAAAGGATTCCACCACCTTCCAGAGTGAATTTGGAGGATTCAAAGTCCTTGCTAGGGGTCTGGGATTAAACCCAGGCGGAGGATGAGATGGGATCCCTCCTCCCACCACCTTCCCAGTTTCATAAGTCTACGGATCTAGACCGCTCCAGAGCGAGGCGCTGTAACATAGTTGGCGAATACAGGGAGTGGCCAAGGCTGTGGGGGGAAACTCGCACCCTCCTTGAAGTAACCTCTCATATCTCTAAATCAAACCTATAGGCCCTGTGACCCGCAGTGCCACTTGTAGAGATTTTTTTTTTAATCCTCACCTGAGGACATTATTTCATATTTTGTTCAGATAGAGTGGGAGGGAGAGAGAGAGAGAGAGAAACATCCACGTCAAAGGGACATATCGAGTGGTTGCCACCCCCACGACCCAACCAGGGCCGGGGACAAACCGCAACCCAGGTACGCGCCCTTGTCGAGAACCAAACCCAGGTCTCTCTGGACTGCAGGCCGACGCTCTAACCGCTGAGACAAACCGGCCAGGGCCACTTGTAGAGATTTATCCAAGGCACACTTGCACACGTGCAGGAGTATGTATGTACAGCGATGTGTATTGCAGCGTTGTGCATAAAAGCAAAGGATTGAACTCAATTCGTATGTCCCTCCATCAGGTCCTAGTGCAATAAGTTGTAGCACATCCATGCTGGAAAATACTAAGCAGTCAGTGAAAGGGAGCAAGACATTTGCTGTATAAATATTTACCTCAATATTTTTTTTTAAATTTGTTTAAAGAACAAGTGCTATGGATTGAATTGATTAGGTACAAATGAGGTCATAAGGGCGTGGCTCCCATGATGGGATTAGTGGCCTTATAAGAAGAGAAACCAGAGAGTTTCTCGAATTCTCTGCATCACTAGAGCATACAGCCAGAAGGCAACTATCTGCCAGGCAAGAGAGTCCTCACCAGCACCCAACCATGCTGGCACCCTCATCTTGGACTTCCAGCCTCCAACTGTGGGAAATAATTTTCTATGGTCTCAGCCACCCAAGCTATAGTGTTTGTTATGGCAGCCTGAGCAGACTAAGGTAGCTACACAGAACAAAATCTGTAGATGGGCAACTATTAAATGAACAAAACAAAATGCATATAGAAGTGCTAAAAACTGTGTAAAAAGAGAGAATATGTATTTACATTTCAGCTCCTTCATTCACAGAATAGCTCTGGAAGTTTCCCAGGAATCCCCACAGTGATCACGTCCAAGAAGAGTAGCTAGTGCTTTTTGAATTTTGTAAAATGTGAACAAGTGAATGATTCTATCATCACGTCGTCATTAAACAATGGAACAGTGGAGACAGCGTCAGGCTTCCCTGGAAAATTAAAGGAGCCTGGGTCTAGGGGAGCCAGACCGGGTTGGGAATTGAGTCCAGTCCTGGGAGAGTCCTGTGACTGTAACCCCAGGCTTGAGTGTGTTTGTGCTCCAATAAATAAGTTGATTTCCCGTGTGCGTGGTCTGGCTGGGTCAGTGCCCCTAAAACACATTTTGCGACTGCCTGCAGTTCCGCTGTCTCCCGACAGGAGGCGTTTCTCAGTCTGAGCCTGAAGTTCCCCGCTCCAGCCCCACCTCACAGAGGTCAAGAATGCGCCTGGGGACAGCCAGGGACCGTGGCCAGCTTGTCTGGAGCCTTTTTATGGGCACAAACGGGGCTCTGGTATCGCCCCGGCCCGAGAATGCAGACCCCCTCCGAAGGAGCCAGACACCAGGCCTGTGCCTCTGCAGGCCTGGGGGCCTGACAGCCTGGGCTCAGGCAATGGAGCAAGATACTCACTGCTTCACCTGTAAAATGTTCTCTCACCTGTAAAATTGGGATGAGGAAATCCACCTTGCAAGATTGCAGTAAGGGAGAGCAAAAGGTGTGTCCTGGGCCTACCACTGTGGGATGACTAGCCAGGCACAATAAGCTGTAATTGTTCTTATTATTTTATTATATTTTTATTTTTATGAAGTGTCTGTCACCACAGTCAAAGAAATCTTGTTTCAGCTAAGAACTGACTGAGTCTTCCAGAGTCAAATTGTAGAGTGCCATCTTTGGTGTCCTCTCATCTAAACTGGAGAGCTGTCCTTGACTCCTTTCTCCCTCCCATACTCAATTCCTCAGTAATTGTGTCTGCTGTTTCCAAAATCTATCCAGGATCCACACGGTCTGAGTCCCCATCTTCACCTTCACCTTGTTCTTCTAACTACCACCTTTGCCTCACATAGAGATCTGTGAATACCTGAACCAAGTCAAGTCCCTCCTTTATCTAGAACTCTCCATGGCTTCCACCTCACTTAGAGCAAAAGTAAAGTCCTCCCCTGAGTCCACAGGCCCTGAGTGATCTGCCCAGCAATCTCCCTGCCTTTGTTTCCTCCCACTCTCACTTCCACCACTGCTCTAGCCACACCTGAATCCTTTGCTTTTCATAGAACACATGGACAGCCCAGCTGGTGTGGCTCAGTGGATTGAGCATTGTCCTGTGGACTGAGAGGCCCCTGTTTGATTCCTCCATCCCCAGTGGGGGTCATACAGGAAGCAGCTGATCGATGTTTCTCTCACTTGAATGTTTCTATCTCTTTCTCCCTTCCTCTCTCTCTAAAAACTCAATAATAACATTTAAAAAAATTGAACATACAGACACATTCCAGCCTCAGGGCCTTTGCACCTGCTGTTCCCTCACAGTAAATGCTCTTGCTTCAGGTGTTCCCAGAACAGTTAAGTCTCAGCTCACATGACTTGTCACCACCTCTGCAGAGAGGCCTCCTCTGACCATCATCACATCACTATATTGTCACTGGAACTATCTCCATGATTTCTTCACTCCATTATCTGCTGCGCCCCCACCAGAATGTCAATTCCACAAGGACAGCGATTTTTGTCTGTTTTGTTCACCGTTGTGGGTTTTAGCGCCAATAAAATACTTTTCCATGCGTCTCCTCTCTCCAATATCTTCGGCTGGTTTTCCTATAAATTCCATTATTTAAAAAGAAAGGGTCTGCAAAATAGCTCTTAGGGAGGGCAGTGGAGGTTCAGAGGGCGTCATTTTGCGACTGGTGCTGCTGTTGGTGCGCCGGTGGAGCCGCTGATGTCCTCCCCGTCCCGCTGGGGCGACAAGTGCTCGGAGCGGCTGGAACTGCCATCCAGGCTTGGGGGTAGCCAGCGGTGCAGGCCATCCGAAGCCCCAGCGGCGCTCCCAGATTGCGGGGAGGCTCTAGGACCTTGGCCACAAGGGCGACGGCCGCAGCAGACCAGGCGAAGGAGGGCGTGGCGCAGGTCGCGGCTGGTGAGCGTGTAGATGATGGGGTTCAAAAGAGAATTGGCCATGGCCAGACCAAGGAAGGGGTCGGCCTGCAGGAGCACTGGGCAGGCCCGCGCCGGGCACGCCACGTCGAGCAAGAGCAGCAGGAAGAGGGGTCCCCAACATGCCACAAAGGCCAGGAGGACTATGCTGAGAGTGCGCAACAGAGCCAGTGAGCGCCGCGTGCAGCGCGCCCTGCTGGAGGAGCCCCCTACAGCCTCAGGGTGCGCCCGCAGGCGCCGCGCGTTGGAACGCACCTGGCAGTAGATGCGCGCGTAGAGCGCACAGATGGCAGCCAGGATGCCAAGGAAGGCGAGCACGCAGAAGAGCACGTAGGCCTTGGCGTAGAGCGGCAGGATCGTGGAGCAGGAGTCCAGGCGGCCCAGGCAATTCCAGCCCAACGCTGGCAGTAGCCCGAGGAGCAGCGAAACGCCCCAAGCCGCGGCCGCCAGCGCCAGCGTTCGTCCCCGACGGGCGGCGGGCGCGGGTCCCCGGCGCGCCATGGTGAGGCGACGTTCCAGTGCGATGGCCAGGAGGCTCAGCACGGACGCGGCTAACGCCACAAAGACGCCACCCTCTCGTGCGAACCAGAGTGTGGGCGACAGGCGCAGCGTGAGCGGCCCGGACAGCAGGATGTTGGCGGCATAGGCAGCGCCTGCCAGAAGGTCAGACAATGTGAGGCTGCCCAGTAACAGGAACATAGGCGCATGAAAGCGTGGGTGCCGTCCGAGCACGAACAGCACCGCCAAGTTCTCCAGCACGATGAGCGCGCACACCGCCAGGCACACGACAGCGTCGGCGCGCAGCCCCGCGCCGGGCTGGTAGCGAGCACCGCGGAGCTTGCCGGTGTAGTTGTAGTGCAGGACGATGACCTCGCTCACCGGCGCAGGCCGCAGCAACCCCGGCTCCATGGGCCACACGCCCAAAGGCTGCGGAGAGGCCGGTGCAGTGTCAGGCTCGGCATGCACCATCCTCGCGGCCTGCGGAGGCGGACACGGGCCTCGCAGTACAGGGAAAGGGGCCCCAACCTCCTGCCCTTCACCCCATTGGGGCGCAGGGGGAGTTCGGGATGGAAGGGGGAGGGCCATGGTGACAGGCAGACAAAAAAATAATATTAGGGGACAGGGTGTCACAGTCCCACAGTTCCTGAGGGATACTTATAACACACACAAGCAGGGATATCCAGAGGCATACTCAACCATAAACAGACAGAATGCACATAAATACAGTCACACACAAAAAGGGACACACAAATACAGTGACAACTACAGGGACATACACACAGTCACAAACTAGGGCAAAAATACAGTCAGATCCCATCGGGAAAACACGAAAATACATTCACCCATGGATAAAGCGACACAGGCCAAGGCATACAGCAGTACAAACTCAGCCACATGCAGATAGGGTCTCACACCCAGTCACACAGGCCACAATTTCACAACCTCAACCCATACTCAGCCTGGAGCCCTGAGCTCCACAATCTATATGTCTTGCTACACACAATGCTTTTTCCTGCCAAAACCCCTTCATTCGCTGCAAAAAAAAAAAAAAAAAGTGAGAAAGCTGAGCCTATCCACCCATTCCACAGAGGCATAGCCCAGGGCAACAGACAGGATCCACATCACACAGATAGGCTTTTATAGAGGGGCACACATGTCATTAAAGTATAATAATAATTCCCTTGCGAATGCTTCCTTTAATCCCCTGGACAACTCTCTCCTTAGTCCCACTTACAGACAAGAAAACTGAGGCTGCAAAGAAGTACCTCGAAATGAAAGAGGCACAAAGGTTTTCATGCTCACACACAAACACAGCCACGCAGAAATGATTAGGTAATGGTGCAGGTCCCACTCAACAGATGAGAAAACCAAGGCCTGGGGAGGAGAATCGACTTATTTGGACTTGGCTGGAGCAAATGCATGCCAGACGGCTTCAGTTGTACACAGGGAACCAGGCGCAAATATAGACCTACAGAGAGTCTGGGACTCAGTCACGCAGGAGGGAGTGGGCAATCAAATACACGCAGACACGGGTTGCACTCGCTCTGATGGGGGCACTGCAAAGAGGGTCACGGCCTCTGCACCTCCCGCCTGGCCTCGGCTTGCCTGGCAGCAGTACTCAGGTAAGGAAACTTGCAGCAGAGTGGCCGGAAGACGAAGACGAGGCCCAAAGATTCCAGGCGCCCCCACCCCCAGCCCACGCCAGCAGCTAGCCGGGGAGTCGCCGGCTTTCCTCAGAGATCTCCGGGAAAAGCCCGAGAACTCCAAGTAAGGGGACCCGCGTAATGGCCAGGGTAACCTTTCCGGTCCAGACCAAGCCCTGCGCGCCCCAAGGACCCAGTGCGTTACACTCACCCCGCGCCCTGGTCGTGCGCCTACCGCGGTCCTGCAGCCCGGAGTCCAGAGATCAGATACCGCTGAGGGGGCGGGACTGGAGCTGGCTGGCGGGAAGGGGAAGCGGGGGGCAGGCCCGCAACGCCGAGCTCCAGAGGTCTAAAGCAATTGCCCCTCCCCTTGGGCTCCGGCAAAGCCCGTGGCTGCCAGTCTGTGCCACCCGCCGCGGCACCGGAGCGCGTCCCGGCGGCGACTGGCACCGGCGAGGCCTCGGCTGCCCCCTCCGGACCTGGGATGCCCTCCCAGGGACGCTCCGTAGCAGTGGGAGGACCCGGAGACCCGAGAAAGGGAGCGGTTCTCAGCCGAGGCGTCCACAGCCTGAGCCTCTCTTCTCACCCCCACCCCTAGCAGAGGGATCCCCTCTGTACTTGAGCTCCTAGGCACTGCTCCCTCCCCATTTTCTGTTTACCTTCCAACAGACCCTCCTGGGCAGCATCCCAAGAATGCCTGGTCCGCGGAGGAATCCCTGCAGCGCTGGTGAAGAAGGGTCTTCTGCAGGGGCCGCTGTAGCCTGAGTCCCCACCCCCAGCGGGGGTAGCTCCCGATTTCTTCGATCCCACCCCGGGTTTGGGGCAACCGGGGGAGGGTAGGCTCAGGAAGGATTCTGGTGAGAACTTCCGCTCCCTGCCCCCCAGATAAGGAGGATCTGAATCATGCGCCCCCCTGGTTACTCCATTTCCCCACTCTTATCGCTCCGGAGAATGGGATTTACTCATCTATGGTTTTTCTGGGCTGAGTCCCCACTAAACTGGCAGACCCACGGGGACAGGGATTTTGCCTATCGTGAGCACTGCCGGGATAAAGCCGATGCCCTTTAAGTATCCGCTGAGTGAGTGAGAATGAATGATTATCTCCCACTTCCTCTGCAGTTCTCTCTCATCGCTTCTCTCCCAGTCTTCATCTCTGTTTCTCCGTGTGTGTGTGTGTGTGTGTGTGTGTGTGTGTGTGTCTTTCTGTCGCTTTCCCACGCCTCTCCCAGGCTTCTGCTCCTCCAGCAGGCCAGTCGCAGCTGGCCCCGCATCCCCCAATTCCCAGTTCCCAGGAGCTCCCTGGCCAGGCCCAGCTCCCTCACCCTCACACCAGATGCCACAGCGCCGAAGGGGAACTGGGACTGGCTGCCCTAAACTTCCCCCAGGGCGGGGCCGTTTGCCTCAGCTGCCGCAACCTCTGCCGGACGCGTGTAGTGTGAGGGCGCCTCAGGGGCGATGGACGGGAGGCTGAGAAGGGGTGGATTTTGGGCATCCTCGGGAGAGGGACTGAGAGAGACACCCAGGCCAGATCGCGACCTCAGGTAGCCCCTGCAGACCCCCTAGTCTCCTGTCCCCGCTGTTCCTCCGGGAGACAAAACCGCTCCTGCCTGCACTGACCAATTTATGCCGCGCGCCAGGCAGCGCAGCCGGTGGGACCCATGGCGGGGAGGGAAGGGGCGAGGGTTAGGGGTAACGCTGTGTACTGCAAGCGCCCCACAGCTCTGAGGACCAAGCCTGCTGAAATGAGCCCTGAGGAATCCCAGAAGCAGCAGGATCACACTCAGCACACAGCAGGCCTCCATAAAAGAAGCTTTTCTACAAGGGGAAGCCACACCCATGGGTGGGAGGGTGGCTGCTTCACACCTCCCAGGCGGCAATCTCACCCAGAAGCACCGGAGAGAGGCTCTTCCTGCCACGGTCCCAGCACCTCCCACTCCTGCCTCCTCCAGGCACCTCTTTCCCATAGACAGTATCCTAGGGACTCAGGGTCCCCAGATAAGGCAGATCTTAGGAACCTCCTGGAGGAGTCTGTGTTTCCATCCCTAACTGCCTTTCCACACCTGCAGCCACAGCCCTTAAAATTCAGATCCCATCCCTCTCCTGCTCCAAACTCTACCATGGATCCCTATGTCTCTGAGTAAGCACTCGCCCTCATCTGGGCCCACAAGGCCCTGTATGTCTCACCTCCTTACTTCTCTCTTCTGTGCCTTACTCTCTTCCAGCCTCACTGGCCTCTCCCTTGTTCCTCACATACTTTAAGACCTTGGCACTTGGGAATTAGTCTGCCTGGAATACCCTTCTTCCAGCCCTTTCCAGCTGGTCACCTCCTTCAGAGAGGCCTTCCTTGATCTGTCCCCCTCTTTCCTGACCTCACATTACAGTCAGCACCATCTGCAATTACATTGATTATTTATTTATTCTTCTCAGCTTTTGTATGTCCCAGCTCCAAGAAGGCAGGGACCCTGTTTGTCCCTCTGCCCAGCCCTTGTGTAAATGTTAAAGGCTGGGATTCTGGAGCCAGACTCTGTTGAGCTGATGCTCCTCTGAGCCTTGGTGGCCTCATCTGTAAAATAGAGATAACAGTGCCCACTCTGGGAGATGTTGTTGAGGATAAAAGCAACAACTGGAAAAGAGCTGGGACATGCATTGAGAGCCCAGTGTTAGCTCGGGTACTACTGGTCACCACTGTATCCCCCGCAGAAGCATCAGGAGGGGACTTCACTCAGGTCCCATCTAGGGTCCCAGGCAACACCAGCTTCCCAACCCACACCCACCCCAGCCAAGCCTGGTTTCTTCTCAGGGGAAGGGCACCCCGGCCTCTGAAATCCTGCCACAATCCACTTGCCTAATGCATGCCTGGGCCAGCATACCTGCCTGGCAGGTTCTGCTGCCAGGGCCCTCACCTGGAGAGGCCACCTCATCCAGTCTTCACCCACTCTTCTTACGGAGCCATGGTGTCTGCATCTCTGAAAGGGCAAAATGTCTCTCATGGTCCCCTCAGATATCCACCCATCAAGAAAACCAGAGGACTGCAGCAGAGGTCCCATCCTCCCTCTCCATCCTCCACCAACCAGTGAATATGGCTGCACTGAGGTGTGAACTGACAACTTCTCATGGCCAGTGACCAGTACAGTCATGAGGGTCTCACACTGGAGCCCAGAGGGCCAACTCCAGATCACAACCACAGGTTTGTTTGCTTAGCTCAGAGGTTTCTTCTACAAACCTCTGTCTGAATTGTACAGCAACACTGTACTGTAGTACACTCAGTATATTTGTTTCTCAGGGATACAGGTTAACAGTTCTGGATCTATTTATATGCTAGCATTGAACAAATCAGTACATATGCTGTAGACACTGACAGCCAGGATTCATGCTATTGGAGAAGGAAGTTACAAATAGTCAATGTGGTGCTAGACTGGGGTTATCAGTATGACATGTTTATTTTTAATAGATATGAAAATAAATACAGATATGTGTGCATACATGGGTTAAGACACACCCACATATATCCTAGCTCTGTCTGTCCCCAGAAGCAGTGACATCCTAGTAGCAATAAGTAAAAGCACCCAGATCTGGGTTTGTAAATACCGTTTTCCAATAGTAGGAACCAGGGCTCCTTAGAGAAATGGCTGACATTAGGGTTGGGTAGAAAAAAATGCAAAATAGCCCTGGCCAGTTTGGCTCAGCAGTTAGAGTGTCCACCTGCGGTCCGGAGAGACCCGGGTTCGGTTCCCGCTAAGGGCACGTACGTCGGTTGCAGTTTGT